GTTTCAGAGGATTGAAGTTACTTATGAGGAGTGTTGCATGAGAACCGGTTAAAACTTTATAAAGAAGACAAGCTATTGATGCTGCACGGCTTTCTCGTATCAGAGTCAATATCATTTTGTCATGAAGTAGCACGAACGTTCTACTTTTCTTTGGTTAATAAGAAACTGAGTAAAATTATTTTGGAATCCAAAAGTAGAGTAACTACTTCTCGTGTTTTGATAGGTAGAAACTCTGGAGGCATTTCTTTTCTTTTACAGTCCCTACTGATCTCAAACCAATATCTAAAATCTTTTTTTGACAAATAATAGCTTGTCTTTTGTCACGTTTTTCTTTGGTTTTGTACATGCAAAACTAGTCTCACGAGAATATCATCGAGTGAATGTGACACTCGTTAAGGGCTCCCATCTTCCTGTTTTTCGCCGAAGCTTCATGCGTGGGTTTGAGATGCACGCTGACTCAACGGAGCTGGCGCGTGTTGCACAGAGTGCAACGGACAGCTTAGACTGCGACAAAATATGTCAGAAGACTGCTTACCAGACGTTGAGTGAAATCATTCCATTATCATTCGATGACACATTTACATTGGAAGTCTTTCCGTGGTTAATCCCGAAATTTTCCGTTAAAATACATGAGAAGCAAAAATTCATTCAAGTTGCACTCCGTGATACAACCCGATAGTTAACCTTCATTATACTAAAGGTTTACCATGGTAGTTGAAAACGTCAATTACAACTCCAAGCTAAACAAACAGTTCATAATCATTTTCAAAAAAGACGAGTTCTACTTCACAGATAATGTAACTCTTGACGTTTCTCTCTCCCCTTTGGAGTTTGTCATGTGAACTAATCTGCATACGAGGATTCGTTTACATTCCCTGCTACAAAAACGCGTCGCCGCTCATCTGTCGCACATGAAGTTACTCGAGATGAATGGAGGCACGTGGGTTTTGATTGATTGGTGATTCCAGGCACTTCATAAGCCAAGGTTATGTTAGTCCTGTGAGTGTAGTTCATGCTTTTTCCACGGAAGGTGGCGGTGATTTTCTTCCGCTATATGGTGAGATTCGGTGCCGACCTTCCTCTTGAATATCGGGGTTTTCCCCATCTAGGCATCTCCCATCGGCAGGGCAGCGCCCCCTACTGAGACAAGCTCTAAGCTACTGACCTGTCTCTCGGCATGTGTTATACTGCCGTGAATGTAGGTGTGTGTGTAAGAGGAAAGGATAGGTCAAGGGAGGGGAAAGAAAGATCGTGCAAATTCCTTGGCCAGTTTGATAGGGTACTACTCCGGTATTCACCTGATGACGACCGGAGAAACCACGGAAAACTACCGGTCAGAGCAGCCGGCCGCAAGAATTCTCCTCCAGACCGCCTCTCAATTCGATCTGACAAGCTAGTGTCAACAAAATACTGCCACCGTCGGGAACCGAACGTAGGACCTCCCAGTCACAGGCACGGCAGTGACATCAGTTGATGCCTTGAGTCTCCTGTCCTGACGTGGGTTTGGACAGAGGAAAATGCTGCGCTAATGCTATGAACTTGAACTCAGGACATGTCCTCTGCTGTCGGGAAGTGTAGTGTCATGTCCTTCATCCGTCATGAAGTTAGTTCCATGTGAGTGGTATCAGCGCGTTGAAATACCAGAGACAATACGTTGGCGTCACTGTAGTCTACAGAATTGAGATACTGGTTTCTGTATTTCCATTGCCTCGAAAGTTATCCATCGTTTAAAAAGAAACACGTTGAATGAAACTAAGAAATTCGAGTCCATTTCATATAGTCACTCATGCGGATAAGAAGAAAGCTTGTGACACACTCAGTGAACTGTTGTTAAGCTTACTCTTTTATGAATTAAGTTATAAAACCAGGCTTACCATCACTGCAGTGTCACATCGCATGAGTAACGTTTACAATTGGAAACACAATAATTCGGTTGTTGATTTGTTGCCAGTGGAGAAACGTTGCTCGTGAGAAGACACACATGCAAGTCTGAGGAGAGTACCTTGACGAGTCGGTGGCCAGTGGCGTTGCGACGACTGGTGACGTCAACTGTGATCTTTGCTCTGCCTCCCTTGCTTCCGCCTCCACAGCGGTCAGCCCCCGTCCACGCCACCGCCAGCGCCAGCGCAGATGCAATTAGCAGCCGGGAGCCCATCCTCGTGCTCATGCCCATGCTCATGCCCATGCCGTCTCCACGACACGCGCTGCCATTTTATGATCCTTCTCACGCCACTATAGCATCAGAGGTCCAGAGCACGTGATTAAATTTCATCTTCGTTTGTCTTTTAGGCTTAACCCTGGAGTTATCTCAAATACAATGAACTCATGAAGTTTCTAAAATTACTATTACTTCCAAATACTTATTGGAATCGCAGATCTTGCGACATTGATTAAGAATTGAGGATGAGAAAGGAGGGGAGGATGGAAATGAGGATGAGGATGGAATTTCTTCCTGTCTTGCGATGTTAAATTATCCATTATGGGGGGAATTTTTAAGTCGTTAACAGTAGGTATTTAAATGTCTTAGAGAATAAAAAAACTAGAAATGGGTTCATAGTGTATAAGCTTTTCGCCTTTCATCTAAATCTTTTCTTCCCTATTTGGGTGATTATTTTTTGTTTTCAAGCGCGTCAACAGTTATGGCCAACAATCTCATAAGGTTGAGTATTTTATTGCAACCTTTACCTAATCTTGGGTTAACACAGATACCAACGCTACATTCAAATCGCGCGTTCAGTACCCTCTGCAAGAGGTTGGAAACCCCTATTTATATACATTCTTTGATAATTGAATTGTAGCGTCCGTGCCATCCGACGCGGTAGGGAGCAACGGAGTGAGAAGGCTTCGAGACGCGAGAGAGAAGAAGATCGAAAAAGTGTTCTATTGGGGAGTGGTGTTGAGCATGGTGAGGACAAAGAGAAACGGACACTGAAGCTGCTGCGCCTAGGTTTACGGGCGTCCATTTTCTTACTTTACATTGCCTTTCCTTGTAAGATCTCGGATCTGCGCGGAGACGTATATTCGGCGTCACCAGCCCACTGACCGTCGCAAGCGTCGCGCCATTGGGTGGGGGCGAGAGAAGGGGGCCCGAGAAGACGTCAGTAATGTTCGTCTTTCGTATTTTTTTCTTCTTATTTTTCGCCACGAACTTGCCATGACTGCGAGAAGCGTCAAGTTCGCCCAGTTCGCTAAGATGTAGGAGGCTCTTGACAGTATTACCCCAATTAGGAAACTTAGGCGCTGGAATTCTCCTGGAGTCAGACGTAGCTCTCTAGCTAGTGGCCGAAATTCTGCCACATGGGATTCGAACCGAAAGGTGTCCCTGCATTTACATCAATTGATTCCCTGAGCCACTTAAGGTGGATCCTATTTCACTAGCGTGGATTCCAACATGGCGATTGTCTTTTCTCTCATCATACCCTTCACCACTAGAATGTGTTTGTCTCAGTTCGTGACTTCGTAGGGCTTCTCAACAGTCGGCTGATGCCACCCTACGAATGTATCGCAATTGTGCATATGATCAGCTGCCACCGGTACAGAGGGCGTGACGAATGCACGCATAATGAGGAAGGGGAAGTGGTCCAAAAGCAGCCAACTGTTATGATGGATGTATATATGAGTGATTTAATTTACTAATAAGAAGTGACGCCAAAAAAAATATCGTCTTGTATTTTAAAAAAGACTTTCAACTTTATTGGAAAAATAATTTTCCACTCACTTATTGACCTAAAAGTACGAAGAATACAACAAAGAATATGAAACAAATTAACATAATAGAAATATATGAAAAGTTAAACACAATTTTAAAATACAGAATTCAGCTTTCTCTGTAATTTGGTTTTGAAAATCCGTTAATTTTACACAAAGTTCCAAGAATACACATCATGTTCATTTCTGGAACTTTATTTATAAAAAAAATAATAAAATAATAAATTCGAATCGAAAGTTTTTATAATTTTATACGAGCATATTTTGAATTTAAAAAAACAAGTTTTGAAACATGGTAATGTGAGTGTCTCTTCATAACTCAATTTAGTATTTGTATGTGTTGCTTGAAATTTCCCCATTAAAAGATTTTATTGTTTTTCGTAAAATAATTTTGTCGTATTTACTGAACCTATGTACCCGACGTTAGGATCAATTAAGTTCGGGAAACGTTGCCTTTAGGATATAAAAAAGTTATTTGTATAATTAAAATTATACGTAATGCAATTTACTGATTACGTATTGAATAATTCTATTGATTGTCTTAAATCACACTGATTCAACAGAAAAAAATATATGTTTAATATCAATTTTTCTATACAATTGTCACCTTTCCCGTCACCTTCTTAGATGCAATTACGGTCGGAGAATATGTTCTGCAGTCGTAAAGAAATCCAAATAGTCACCATGTTACTGAGTAAAAATGCATTTCAATAATTAAATGTGTTAAAATAATTGGCCGGGGAGGCCATTTATTTGAACAAATTTAATTATGAATATATTTCTTTAATAATTTAACCCAATGAAAACCAAAATATGTGAGTACCTGACCTACTCCTCTAAGTAAATTGTTAAAATTAGAAACATAACTTTCTTTACCTTTTCGATTGCTCTCTCTCGCTATTTTAAGAAAGTAATTGGAGTAAATTAATTCCCATTATTTTATCCTTCTAACAGTAGTTAAAATGACTCCATTCCTTTGACGTAATATAGAATGCTGCCTAACTTTATATAATACCATTAATTACATAGTTGTAAAGTTACAAAATATATAAATGTGTTAAATAAAGGATTGGATGAGATAAAATGTATATTGCACGAGGCAACAGTCTATTATGTCATCGTCAGTAATGGCACGCTCATGAGTCGCTACTCTGCTTGTAAATAATAATTGCTCTCCTTGCACTGAACAGCTTCTGTTAAATACTTTTAAGAAAAATAACTATTCTTCTTGGCTATTTATCGTGCTCTTCAGAGCGGGAACTCGCAGAAATACGCATTCACAGAGCGGCACGGCAAGTCGTTCAGCTTTCCGGTTCGTTCAATTCCTCCGCAATCTGATTCCGAATCTTTATTTCCTTTCGCATTGTTGGGCTGGTCAGTGCCCCATACAGCGTATCCAGCTTGCTCCAGCGTTTCACCTGAGAAAGCAGTCAAGTGATATAAAAAATTGAGCCGAACCCTTGCGAGTACATGACAAAAGAATGAAGTTAATAAAATTTGCAACAGAAGGGTACAACATGCACTACACGGAAAATTGCAAATTTCACGAATATTTTGACATTATTTCTTCATTTTTGGGACAAAAGAATGATAGAGTAGGTTCACAAATTCTGGAACTATACAGTCACTACCCTTTGTGGACAAAAAATTAAACACGTTTGTGGTAAAGTAATTGAAATGTGTATTAGCTATATTTATGCATGTATGCTATACTGGACGTTTTCAGGATTTCCTCCAATTCACTTTATTTTAAAAACGCAATGAATCATTGAAACACTTTTGCCAAGGGACATGTAACAGACATTTGGAGATAGCTTCTTTTACGTGCACTCACTAACCTTTGCATTTAAGGATAATCAATCTTCGAATTCAAAGCTTTCACTTCGAATCGCACACTCTTACCAAGTATTGCAATGATATCTTTGTCTTGTTTTATAATTTTATATTTTTAGCCTTGAAATTGCATAATGAACAAATGTCGGCAGAAAAGTTTCATTGTATTGATTTTACGATTTAAAAAAATAGTGTAAATACTTTAAAACCAGTGAATAATAGCTCGTGATAATACATTTGGGACCTTCTACATTTCATTTTAAAAATTCACTAAAATATCTTACCCCATTCAAAAATAGATATTTTGAGATATTATTAAAGAGGGGAAGAAATTAACATTCACCGTGTAGAGTGCTTAAATTTGTATCATGAAATGAAGTCACGGGACAACATGGTAACAAACTATAGTATTATATGAAACAAAAAAACAACAAAAAAACAAAAAAAAACGAAAGCTGATCTTTTATTTTCTACTTCGGAATCATTTATGTGTTATAGTTTGAAATGTATTTGTATATTTTAAATGAAATAATTAAAACCTGAAAATGAGAACAAATAGATTTTAAAAATGTTGCTATTTCTGATATTTGGAAAATATAATTAAAATTAAAATGGCAGTCTTTCTTATTTCATAAGTTTCAAAAATATAAGGGGATCATACTCTATTATGATTCGTACACTGTTAAAGTAAAACGTACGCTTCTTCGACCGAAGACTTTATCTACTTGGCTGTACAGGACACGGAGAAACCTAGACCCATGCATTTCGCCCTGAAGAAGATCCCGGTGTGTCAGACAAAACGTTGGCACCTGTGCCTAGGAGGCGGTGCCTCCCGGACACCCAAGCAAATATAAGACAAAGTAGTATTCCATCGCATTCATAATATCCATTCTATTGAATGAACATGGCCTTACCGAATATAGTGTAAAATTTTCCTTCGACCAAATCCGAAAAGCCTATAATAGCTACGTGATGATACGTAGCACCGGGGATCTGAGCCGGCGCCCTCGCGAAGATCCCCTTGAGGGCGTCGGCCTCTTCCTGGGAGTTGAGGACGGCGAGATGCGCGCCCTCTGCCACGCACGCCTGGCGCGCCTCCTCCCAGGTGAGTGGCGTCAGGTGCAGACGGTACCAGCCCAGCTCAGGTACCAGCTCGTACCCAGGTGGTGGTAATCGAGGTTCAGGTACTAGAATTACATTTTAAACTACGTTACGTTACTGACTTCTCAATCTTCTCCAGCGCTATAAATGCTCTGATGGGAGAGTCTATAATGTGTATACTAGTATTTTAATGTAGATTAATGAACGGTCATACATTAATTTAAATGTACTTTATACATCAAAAGGATATTAACGTGTTGGTAGATTAAATGTACTGCTTAAATTAAAAGCAATGTAAATTTAATGTACATGAAACTTAATGTATCTTATACATTACAACGAAATTAATGTGTCTGTACATTAAATTTCATGTTTAATTGAAAATATATGTTGATTTAATTTACATCTGTACAAGAAACATCTTTTATATTGAAGACATATTAATATAATTAGACATTAAATTCAATATTTTAAAAAAAATTGCGCAGAATTGATTTATAATTGTGGAACACATGGACCATAGATACTTTTTAAAAAACTTATAAACATGTTTCCACTATTTGAAATAAAGCACAATAAATTTAAAATATTACATCAGCATGTATACTAAAAATTAATTTTTTAAAATTCGGATTTATATTGAAACTGATAACAAATATATAATGAAATTCTAGCGGTCAACATAGAGTTAACAACGTTAATTAATAATTCTTTCAAATTCAGCGAAAATACGTGGGAGCACAACTTATCACGCAACACTGATACTTCAGTTTTTGCATGAAATGATTTAAAAATTATTTCCACAAAACCATTTAGTTTAATATTGTATTTGAACGTTGAATATTAGAAGTTGAAAAAATAGATTCATGGTAATTTGTACCTTCTTTCCGAGCTGCGTGCTTCTCAATGTTTTTTTTTTTCGGGGGGGGGAGCATAAAGTGGCTTAGGGAAATCCTTGGTACCTGGTACCTTGAATGTAGTATCACAAAGGGTGATGGCGGTATGCTTATTTCTGAAAAAAAAGGCTGGAAGTCGTTGAGAAACATAGGTACTTGGGCGTTTCGGATTCATTTCAAATTCTAAAGCTCTTGCAATCAAGTGCTTTTACGTGTTAAAGTAACAGCAGACTTGTTAAAATTCTAAACCGTGTGCAAAATCAAAGAAACTTCATAACCTTTGGATATGAAAGCGTGTGGAACTGATGAATGTTATTCTTCATTTCCTGTTCTCATCAGAGTAGTTTCCTGTAGCGATTCGCGGTTAACATCAAGAGAAACTTGCAATTCTCGCATATTAGATTTGTGAAGGTAAGGTCTCATCATGAATTGTGAATCTTGTTAATCTTGGCCTATTGATGCATGTGCTGAAGATTTCAAGTGACTCTTCAAATATAACAATGGACCACACAAATTAAGTCAAAGAACTAAAGTGCAGGAAATGAATGTTTCATAGTAAGTCCCAAATAAATGACTGTGATCCTGAAAAAAGTTTCCAGTAATTTGTTAAGACGTTATTGAAGATGTGATAGTAATATTTGACAGCTATTACGTTTTTTGGATGTGCATATTCTGCAAAATTAGGATCAACCCTCGAATTCATACCAAGGTAAGTTGGAGTTGCATTATTATTATTATTATTATTATTATTATTATTATTATTATTATTATTATTATTATTACATTAAAAGTTATGTTTCATTGAACAATTTATTACTATCGATAGAGCATTTGAGAAAAATAATCACATTACAACCTTGATAATTTTTAATAAATTGGCAATTGGTCTCGGTTTTAAGTAATAGTGAATTTTCATTAAAGAAAACTGTCAAAATGAATATAGTTAAAAGAGAATGGATTGCATCCTTACGAATCAAAACCTTTTTCTGATTAAGTAATTTCTAGAATGACGAAAGAAGAAAGATAGGTAACATTTTATAATTGTAATATTACCATCTAGTAATAATATTACTAATAATTTTGTTGTACACTCAATCAATTTTCTTTCTCATTTTGTTCTTCTATTGTGTATGAATTGATAACATTTTTCACTATAACGTTTCTTAAAATTATGTGATCACACTTGCTATCATTTAACACATTAGAATAGGTACCATTAACATTCTTTTGAATTATTAAATAATCAAGATAGAAGCAATGTGTTTGATTTTCCTCAACATATTCATTGTAAAGCATCTTTGGACTAGAGCTACTTAATTCGTGTTATTTATGTTGGAAACTCGGCGTCTGCAATATAATTCACATCGGTCCACTGCTCTGATGTAGCCCCGATATGTATAATATTTCGCCAAATTTCCAACATACAATCTAGAAGCGATAAGTGGGTCTGGATCCCTGGTAGCAAATAGTGTTGCTTTTTAAACTTCTGTCCGTTGGGTTCTCAAACTTAAATGTATCTCTTAATTTTTGGAGAAATTTTACTTGAAATCTCTCATATAATTTTAAAAAAATCGAAAAAAATGACGAATTTTAAAACAAACTTTTCGCTCGAATAGAGCAAAATACATGGCCAAAATAAAAGGGCGCGTATGTGATTTGCATTAAATTCTTCTACACTTCGGAAACTGCAAAAGAAAGAAAATAGCTTACTCCCTTCTAAAACTGTATTGTTAAAGAATACAGGTATTCATTAGGAAAATATATTTATTTTTCTTAGTAAAATCTACTTTACAATTATAAAATAAACTCATATTAGGGGATCTTCTTCGTGGAAACTGGATCATGTAAATATAGGAAGTTGGAATGTATGTCGTCTACTTCACAAAGAACGTGAATGAATGAAAAAAGCCAAGGGAGCCAAACTGAACACGAAGACAAAAAAGAAACAGATAGGACCCAGGATCTTTGGGCTCTATATAGTGATAAATAGTAGTGGTGTACCCAGAATGTAGAGCAATAGCAGAATTAGGTATTACGGTAAGTGATATGTGGAGGAGCAGCATAACATCGTACAGTTGGGTAAATGAGAGAATCGTCACAAGTGGACTGAAGGCGTGCAGAGGATATTCGAGCATAAATCATAAAATGTAATAATAAGCATAAAATGTTCCGAAATGACAAAAATATGCTTATACTTATACCTTTCACAAGATCCTACAAAATGTAATTGATTCCATAAATAAAAATACCTATATTATAATTGGATATCTGAATGATAGAATTGGACAATTATAGTACAGTATTCACGTAATTATGAATGTAGACTGGACAACTTTCAACAATTTTTTTCTCACAAACAACTTATATTTTCCCCATAAACGTCTTGTAAGGATAAGGCACTTATGTGTATACAAGAACTATTTTTATTTAATTTTTTACTTCTCAAAAACTGAAGTTCTATATTGTTTTTTAAATCCCCCACTCTTTCTTAGGTGAATTATTTTTTTTTTGATAGATGGCTTCGTTAGAGTTAATATGATACAAGTTGCAATTATCTAACATTTGATTAACTTTACATAAAATAGGAAAAAGTATATACTGTTATTGCCTCACTAGACTTTTATTTTACAGAATGTAAAACTGTTGTAGTGTACCACGACCTTCTCAGTTGTTCTGTATGCTCATGGTGTGCTATTATCACCACTAGTAGCCAATTTCGACATCATAAACAATCTCAAATAATCTGCTGCCTGGCGGGAATGAAATACCTATATAGGGAAAACCTCCGCAAATCAACGCGTAGGTCGGCGTCGAATCTCAGCATTTAGCGTGCAAAGAACACCCACACTTCCGTATAAGAACACTGGACTAATGACAGTAACAGTTGAAAAGGCCACCATAACAAGGAAAACGAAATCACGAAATAATCAAACAGCGATTATTGGAACGATGGTTGAAAATGACAGCTTAAAAGAGATTGAGGGGTGCGTAAAATTTAGCAATAAATGTAAAAAAACAAATTTGAAACTTGCGGAAAATAGAAGTTATTATTTCCAGTTAACTTAGATAATGTAAATCTTAGACATGTAATTTAGTAAGGATTATTTGTTCATACTGATTTAAATCGGTTTATTTCTAATGAAATAAATATGCATTTCTAAAGAAAAAAAAATATGTATTTTCTGATGACATTGTGAATGTAATCAGAATAACATAAATCATAAGTTAATTTTGAAGTTAATGTTCACTTCAACGAGGGACAAATTAGTAGGTTTCAAAGAAATTAACTAATGGAGCTACAACAGCCGTTTATTTTTTGCTTTATTTCTAAAATTTGTATTTTTGAAACAAAACTGAGACCTTCTTCATACTTTTAGGCATCTCTTGTTCTATCCGTGAAAAAGAAATTGAAGAAAAAATTTGGAACGGTTTTTGAGAAACTGTGATTTTTTTAATGTGTATTAACTTGAAGCAGAAATTACATGAAAGATACTAGTTTGACAAAAAATTGTAGATGACTTTGTTTAGATTTCTGAATTTTTAGAACATATTTCGTTTCTAAGTCAAAAATCTTAATTTTGAATACTTTTGTTGAGACCACTGCTTCTTGTACCAATCTTTGCTACATACAGAGAGACGATTTAAAGAAACATTTTGAGCTGATTTTGAGAAACTTTTAAATATTGTCTATATTTCAAGTGTAAGAAAATTAAAAGTTCAAATTTGTTCAAGAAAGTTCAAATTGTAAGAAAATTATTCGTATTTTCAAAAAATCTTATAAAATATTACTTAAAGAAATGCCAATAAAGAACAGATTTCATTAAGAAAAACATCTTTATCTTCAATATTGTAGTCGTAGAAAGACACCAAAAATATCTTCACTTTGGAAATTTTCGAACAATCAGATATTTGTATTTCACAAATATTAGATCAATACCATTCTTTTAAGAGTCCTTAACGCTATTCAAAGATAAAGTGTAATCAAAAACATTTGAGTCAGTTTTGATAAAATTCAGAAAATGTTGAGGCTTCCTGTAAAATACTCGCAAAATTAAAATATCGGTTTTAAATTCAGAGAGCCTCCAGTTCTTAATAGATTGAGGATTATCGAGTTTTGAGAGAATCTTCTCTACGATTTATGCTCTAGCGTTCATCCTAGACGGACAGACGGACAAACAGACTGGCAGACGGACAGATCTGACGGTCATTTTAGGTTCAATCCGTTTTTCGGTATCAAGGACTCCTCCCAAAAAAGAGAAGATTCTGACTACACCACGTTTGAGAGGAAATAGTTTAGTATAAATAAAAACATGATATACTCACGTTTTCGCTACCAAGGACTAAAAATAAGTTTTATGTCGAAAAGGCACTGTTTTCCGGCACAATTAAAATACTTCCTCTTCTTTGAAGAAAAGGTGAGGAAGTAAAAAAAATGCTTTGTAGTAGCCATCATTCCGAAACTTTCCTTATTCAAGGATGAATGAGTGTCATTTACTATTTTATGAAAATGTAAGGGTATGTAAATACAGCTTCTGATCAACTCACAGCCAATAAATGTTTTTATGAGCAGTCGGCGAATGCCTTCCGTGACGCATGATTTTTGCTGCAATTCCAGCCGAACGTCTGGTGCTACTCCATCTTGTACTGCCAGCAGATCACTCTACAGACAAAATAAAGTAATCTTTAAATTAATCGGATTTAATGACTAGTTACGTTAACAAGAAAAACAATTTTGACAGGAACCATGAGTTAGATAAAAACATCACTCATGTCCAACAACAAAACAATATTAAGCCACAAAATAGAAACCTATTTACAAAATACAAACTTATTTTCAAAAAAATCTTACTCTTTTTCTATACTGTAAATTATATTATAGTAGCACAAATATTGTTTCGAGGATTGGGCGTCTTTCAGACATAACCATTTTTGAAAAAAGGAAATAATCATTGAATTTAAATCAGTTTTTAAGCAAATGCACTTGAAATACGAGTAAAATATCATATTATACATCATCAATCTTTAGAGAATCAACATGGTAGAGCCTCGAGTTCTTGATCGATTGAGGAATATCATTTTTTTCGAGAAAATCGTCTCTACGAATTAGGCGCTACCGTTGCCCCTAGACGGACAGATGAGGCATGACTCAATATACATTGAATATTTCTAAGAAATCCACAAGTTGTATTAGCAATGATTTTATCTCAAAGAGTTTGTCAGGCAATAATGCAATGCTATCTAAAGAAACCGGTATGAATGGTTTCGTTGTTTTTGTAAAAATCTTTTATTGTTTCTATTTTGTTATACAGTTGTTGGATTGCACACACTTTGTTTAAACATTACAGCTCTACATAATATCCTATTTCTTATAAAAACATTAATTTGAACCCAATAAATCCCAATACCAAATAAACAATTTAAATAATAGTAACGATAATAGTAAAAATAACATAAAACAAATAACTATAAACTATATAATACATTCTAATAACAACAATAATAGTGCTACCAATGTGTTAACGAAATTACTTGAACTTACTGATACTTCTCTGTAACCTGTTGCATTTCTTCTGCTTGTTACAGAATAAGTAACGTAGTTACCACATATCTCATTCGATGCGGTTGAATAGGTCATCAGAAAGCAAACAATTGTAGCCAGCTGTCTATTCAGAGTCAGCGCCATCGTGATATTTGACCCTTTCTATAATCGCCCCTTTTATAGTTGTGCCGGACCGGAATTTTTTCAAGATAAAGGATATGGAAAGGTCAACCTATCAATCTTTCACAATGTTGTGAAATCAACTAATAATAACTTTTTATAGTACTGGTGCTCTCATAACTTACCTAAATTTTTAATTAAGCGCGAAAACAGTATTTCCGTCAGAAATAATTTTTATATTTAGTCAAATACTTGATTAGATGATAGAGGGATTCAAGCTGCCCCGTAGCTACGTATGTACATCACGTCCGGGAACACATTTGTTAATTTATTGGACAAAAACTATGAACCATACAGTTTTCACATATATGTCATTTAAAAGTGGAACTTTTAAATGACGTATAAATGACTATATAAAGTTTTTAAATTTGAAATTTTCAAAAGTTCACGTCCATCGCCGCAGCCGGAACAAGGCCTAAGCCCCCGATTCGTTTCCTGAAATGTATTACTGTAGTGCTTGTTTATGGAAGTTTGTGCGTGCAAGGGGTAAGAATAGGTCAATGAAGAGAAAAGAATGATCGCGCACGGTCATTTTTTGAAAATGGTTTGGCGAAGTACTGCTCCTTCAGTACCCTGGTATTTATCGAATAAACAACGGAAAATTACCTCTCAAAGCAGCCGGATGCTAGAACTCTCCAGACAGCGGTTGAATTCGACCTAGTCATCGTGCTAATGTCAAAAAAACCGACGCCGCCGGAGCCTAAGCCCAAGGAACCCTTGGTTAGAAAGCGGCAATGCTAACTCTGAGCTAAACAGAGCAGATGTATTTTTGGAAAGATGTACGTAGCCGGGACTTTGCAAACAACACACTTTCCTCAGAAACGAAATATTTATAATGTTGAGAGTTGTGTACACACCGCGCGACTGGTTCAAGAGTTAAATAATATTTAGGGGATATGGAACATTTCTACATTTTATCATAAAAGTATATTTATGTATTTGTCACAACTAATAGTGAAGAAAAAATGTTCATTGAAACCAGTATAAAAATCAAGTCAGTCCTATTTTTCACTAAGGAACGGTATCTCTCACCAGCGGGGCACTGCCCCAACCGGGACAAGCTCTCAACTCCCGACCGGTATCCTGGCACGTGCGATGTTAGTGAAAGTAGGGGGTGATGATAGGATAAGGGAGAGGAAGGAAAGATCGCGCGCGGTCCGTGGCACGTTTGTTAGAACACAGCTCTGTCATTCACTTAGTATTGATCGGAAAAACCTCGGGAAAGCACCGATCAGAGCAGCCGGCAGCTAGAACTCTCCTCCGGACTGCGACTGAACTCGACATCGCTGACAAGCTAGTGTCGAAATTTCTGCCACCGTCAGAACCCGAACCCACAACCTCCCGGTCAGAGGCATTGCAATGAAATCGGTTAATACCCTGAGCCACCTTTCCCGGTACGAAACCTAGGGTATAGGATATTTGCAAAGCAGAAGAAATCTCAGCCATGCACTTGCTCATGTTTCATTGAGTCCAGGTGTATCTCGATCGAAATGTGACAAATATTTTTACAGCTCATATTCTTCTGCATTCTTGTATTTAGTTATGATATCACATTTTATTTATAACCTTCCCCCCTCTATATTCCATCACTGACTAAGGTAAGATCTATTACGCACCGACTCCTCATAAACAACATTGTATATAAAACGTAATTATTTTATGTTTTGAATAAAACACAAATTGTGTAATGAGGATCAATTGTACAATTACTTCTGTAAAATTTGATATTTCATTAAACCGCTCAAAATCTATTTTAAGACCTAATGGGTGACCTTTTGTGTTCGTAAATTTGTATTCACAAAAAAAAAAATTGTATGGAATAATTTCAAACGTTATAATATATACTGTATTGCAGATATACTGTAGTGCAATATACTTTACCAACATATTGCTGTAATTATAATGTGCACAGCACGGTCACACGTGATAGGAATATCAGTTGCAGGCCTTTGCTCGCCCTTTGACTTCGAGATTTCATTGGGGTATTCCTGTAGACGGAGGAAAGTTTCTGGGGCTTCCCGCCGATTGCTTCTTAGAATCTTGTCAATCACCCACATCGTGGTCATCGTTCTGCCGCTCAAAGATCGCCATAATAGTCAAATAAAAAAGAGATTCATGGATAAAATGATGATATAAATACGAGGAATTTTCGCTCGTGGATGATTTGGACGAGTAGAATGGGCACGCCAAGTCAACTTGTTGGTAAATAGGCATTCACATTTAACATTTTGTCTAAACGAATGACAGCGTATGAAACATTGGTTGGGTATTTTTAAGGTTTATTTCATTTCATTGGTTTCTAGCGTATAAGAGAAATAACATAAGCGGGAGTAAGACGTTTGTTTTCTGAAACAAATGATAAGATGTCAGAGTGTTGTGGTTATTTCGTCGCCATTGTCAGGGTATGAGAATGAATAGTGTGATGTGAAATAGCAGTTGTGTTCGAAACTATCATGGTGTTAGAGCAGAAAGTGGTGGTTGTTGTCGAGAAAGATGGCCAAGCCACCAGGAATGTTAACAAGACAGTAGATACAATTTGGTTTTCCAAGTTCAATTGCCAATGAGACAAGGTTGACACGTTAGAAAGAAGCGACAATTTTCTAGTTTTATTTCCGGGATGCCAAGATTGTCAGAAGCCTAGTAGCATTTTCCCGCGTTTTTGCAAAAAATAAGGTGATATGAAGTAAATAAATAGAAGTAATTTTATCAATACATCTCGATCTGATCGTTCTGGCAATTTATTTAACGATTAATTAATGAAATTTAATTTTCAACATTCATCAGTTATTGAAGACTTATTTAGAGTAGGCACCGACTTTAGTTTACGTAGTGACTACAGTCAACTTAGTATTCTGGCACAGAACGAATCGTGTATTTCTAATCGAAAAAAATGGGAAGCGTCACCCAGAAAAAGTATGGTAAACTATAAGTTATTGTTAGTGGTTGATTAATTGACTTGTGTTTTCGTGCGCGGCAAACATTATAGTCATTACTGCCGTAAGTGTGGTCCACATTTTTATCAAGGGAGGTGAAGGTGGTGTTCTGCCGCTTGAGGGTGAGGTATATCGCCGTCCTACAATTCGACTTGAAAGCTCCCGACTAGTCTCCCGACATGTGTGTAAACCGAGATTGTGTAAAAAGCATGTACGTGTGAATGCAAGTAAGGGTGGGAATAGGACACGGGAAAGAAAGGAAAGATTGCGCGTTGTTCGAGGCCGGTATGTTAGGGTACTCCTATGGCATTTGCCGAGAATTGAACGGAGAAACCACGGAAAACTATCGATCAGAGCAGCCGGCCGCTAGAATTATCTTTCAGATAGCGGCTAAATTCTTCCTAGCTATCCAGATAGTGGCGATAGTCCACCACTGTTAGGACTTGAAAGCTTGAAACTCTTGGTCGTTGGCAGTGCACTGACATCGGTTGATATTCTGAGTCTCCACTCGACCAGTATATTGCTAGTAGTGATCGTCTAATCGAATGCATTCTTGGCCGTGAATCTACATTTTGATCGATTCTTTGAAGCAAACAACGTGAAATTTCGGCTATTTTCTCTTCAGAGTTTCTCTTTCTCTCAAAGTGTCCGAACTCTTATTCCGAGTGAGTGGTCCGTAATCTTTCAATTATTCTCAAAGTAAAGATTTACAAGGGATTAGATTAGGTGATCTGGAATGCCATAACACAGGACTGATTATTAAACCGTCTCTATACAATGTGTAGAATGTTTACAAGGAGAGTAGTAAACAGTTGTTAGCAACAAGAAAAGTAATAATGAGTGGACAATACTTTAAATATTAAAAATATGTACTAATAAAACTGAATTCAACATGTAATCGAGATCGATACCACAAAACGTAGTGCACGAATAGATACAAAAATTGTCCAAGCACTTCTTCAGGATTGTCGCATTGTCCTTGCAAAGTTTGGTAAAGATTAATTCAACACAAATCCGGTAAGCAAATTACTTAAATAATATGTTGGTAGATGCACCGCGATCATTCTTTTTCGCCTATCGCTAACAGCAAATTTGTTGCTAATATATAAACGCCAATGCCTAGTAGTGGAACGTAAAGTTACGTAGTAAAATTCCCTCTGAATCCCATCATGTCCGAACATCGTCTGCCACGTTTTTTCATCACGGACGCCATTCACCTGCCTCTCATCTGCGCAGAATTATACTTAAACACGTCTTTTCCTCGTTTCTCGCGCGCCGATCTTTCGATTATTCTCACACGATCTAACGCTTGATTGGTCCCACACATTTCATCACATTCATTCAATTTATTCACATATTATCTGTTTATTCTTTGATTTCCTTCTCGTAATAACTTCTGAATTTATTTTCTGCCCCATGGAATTTGCTCACGTGTGCTTTCACCGCATTATTGCTTAACATATTATGTATATTCCCCACTGTCAATCCTTTGTATTGTTTCCAAAATAAAGATCACTTGCCTTTCTTTTCTATTCCCCATTTTTGTGCTAGTCCATATTTATAATAATGTAAATGTATCATTCCTATTTAATTACCCTTTTGATAACTTATCATAATAGACTCGGAACAATTATAGCTTTAAATGAAGAAAAATAACTTGATGTAAATGAACAACAAATATAAAGATGCGCTAATATACAATACTGAGTGAATTTATTTTAAAAAGGAACTGTTTTCAAATTATCGAAAGAATAATGCAAGTTACTCGACAACTGTCAACGACAACATGGCAGATGCCCAATTGTTGACGGTATTTGGAAGACTATACATAAATACCCAGCTATATACTCATATTGTAAATAATACACAGTTTGATACTATAAGATGTTCAACATGCAAACATTGTTTGAGTAACATTTGGAACAATTTCTTACATAAACCTTACTAAAGATATACATTTGGTTCTCAACAAAATCTGTTTTTGAAATTTAAATCTTTAAATGAAATCTTGCACAGGAAGAGGTGGCTCAAGGCATCAAATGATGTGATTGCAGTGTCTCTGACCGGGAGGTTCTTGGGTTCGAGTTCGGACGGTGGCAGGATTTTCGACAATAACCAGATAGGTTTAGTTCTGTCACTGGAAGAGAATTCAAGAAACAGGCTGTTCTGATCGGCATTTTTTTGTAGTTTCTCCGATGAATACCGAGCGAAAGCCGGACCACTACCCTAACATACGGGCCACTGTCCGCGCCACATCTTTCCTTTCCATTACGTGACCTACCCTGACTTACACTGACATGCACAGCACTACCACAAATGCCGGGAGACCGGTTCGGAGTATAGAGGTTCTCCCGGCTGGGGCTGTGCCCCACTGGTGAGAGATACCTGGCTGAGGAAAACGCGCTAGCCATCAAGGAAGTAGATGTCAGAGTTCACCATTCCCCGCCACCTCCCGAGCAAAAACCTGCACTACACTTACGGGGCTAATAACCTTAGCAGTTGACGCGCCCAGAATTACCAGTAATCAATCAATCAATGATGTCGTGCCCAATATTTGAAGATGAGTGTAATGTTTTTGGTAAGTTTGAAGAAAAGCGGAGAAATTTTTAAAAAATACTTAAATTTTCCTAAGAAAAGTTTCATATTTTCTTTTCTTGTATACGTGTAAAGTAATAAACATATTATTTGGAGTAGTATAAGACACGTTGTATAAGAGAACAAGAGTTATCTATTGACCTGTAAAAGAACTCAATCATTATATCCAGAAAAATATTATTGTTCCGTGATGGGCCCATAGAATACTACGGGCAAGCATGTACAAGTACAGTACCTAGAGAGACTTTTGCGATATTTGGAGCGCGCGAAGATTATTCTTCATGCGGAATGTCCCTAGAGGAGTGACAGAGACCGCGCGAGGCCCTGGTATAGAGAGATTTCAACAAAAAGGGACCGCTTTGACAGCTACTGCATGGCCACTGCTGGCAACACATCAGCAAATTATGTCTGTAATAATGTCTTCGTCACTAACCCTTGCAATACCATCGCCCTACATGACGTTTATTTGATGCACGACCAGACAAAGTGGTCCCGTCTCACAGTAACTTCTCTTTAGATGTTGTACACGTTGATAAAAAACAGCTGAAAAGAGAGTGAGGAGAAAGAATAAAAGTAGCTCTTATTAAACGGAACATGAAAATAACTTATACGAAAAAGTGTGTGCCATGTCGTAGCACCGCCACTGTAAGTACGGGCATAATCTAACTTTTTTCGACTGACTCGATTTCGGCAGAAACGTTTCACAATGGCCGTTGTCGACTCGTAACCGAGCAACGGCTTGGAGGTTCGGCGCCAGAGGGGGAGGTGTTGCGGCGGGGGGGCGGGGCGGACGTGGCGCTGAGTGCCGCACAACGACCCCTCCCTTCGCTCTCCAGCCGACGCCTGGTACAAACCGCTCCGCGAGGCGCGAACAGAATGCTCCTTGGACATCGTTTCCGGACGAGCGAAGAACCTGGTCCAGGCCAGAGGTGCGAGACGAAGCCGAAATCAAGTTCCGAATTGCGTAACAATCTGTGATGCGATGACGCGGTTCTCTCAAGATCAAATGATGGAGAGGTTCGACGCTCGCATTATCAAGCTGCGGCCTTCGCCGGGCCCGCCGCCTGTGCAATCTTTGAACGTCCATGAGTTTGCCCATTCGCCCACAACCTACTGCCTCACGATGGCTACTCTCCCGGTGACCCTCTTGGCTACGTTATACCTTCTTCCGAATCCTCAAACATTGAAGGTAGGTTTTAGTATAAGTGTTATTAAAATATTGATGGCTTAATTCAAAAATCAACAGAACGTCGGAAAAACTTTCCCAATGTCGCGTCGTTGCCCATTTAACAGCCGCCAGCAATATTATGAAATAATCCTTCACTTTCGGATATCGCTTTTCGTTAGTTTGTTATCCTCGTGAAAGCTCTCTTTAGTCAATTCTTGGTCTGAATGTGGTGTTTAGTTTACTTTTATATCTGATATTACTTTCTTGTTGCACAAAATTGTTCTGCATGTATTCACATATCAATCAACGTTTTTACTTTCACATGGAAATATCTACTTTCTAAAAATAATCATGAGCACATTGAAACTATCCGCATTACTCTAATCATTGTGAGTACGACTAAGTATTTACACTACTATATTACAACAACACCTATTTGTCTACTAGAACACAGTTATTAATTCGTATCAAAATATTGTAGTTTACCTTAGTTCCGCTTACCTTTCTTCCGCTTCCTTTAATTATCATTTACCAATTGCACACTATTATTTCACGGATCACGGGTAAGTGTGAAAGAGTGTGTGTGTAAGGAGCGAGGAGCGAACAACGATGAGGACAACGATGTGGCGCGCAGTTCAATGTCTGAACCTGGAGGTCCTAAGGTTTGAGACCCGACAGGAGCGTTCTTTCCGCTTAGATACATAGCTATGTCGTATTAAACCGCTGTCTGCAGGGTCATTCTACCGGGAGGCTAGAATCTGGTCTAATCAGTAGTTCTACATGTTTTTTTAATGAATATAAATCGACTTTCGGAGAAGTACATTAACTAAGAACTAGGAAAGCACGTGAAATCTCTACATTCTCATCCTTGTATCGTTATCTTCACATAAGCTTAGACACACATACAAACAATACACTACCATACATAGCGGAAAAGCAGTCGAGAGCTTCGAGCTTCACCAGGCTAGCGAGGTGACACGCTGGCAGAGATACCTGGTGGGGAAGTACTTCCCACAAGCCCAAGTGTTTATCGGCATCGGACTTCACGTTCCAGCAGGAAACAAACACTGCTTCTTTCTGATATATAAAATGCACTACACTTACAGGAGTAATAAAACACAGTTCACGCGCTTGGAAATACAACATAACTTATTGAGTAATGAAGTTTTTAGTTCCAACGCGATGCAGAATGTGGCATTATAAGATTTCTCACGTGTTTTCTTGTTTCTACTTTAAAATATTCAATGTTCTTAGTTCAAATGTAAAGATTGGCTGATACAATGCTGTCAGTTGTGTTTGCTAAAGCAGGGATTCGTTTTATCAACGACGCATTATTTGCAGTTTTGCAAAATTCTCTCACAAACCCTCCATTTCGTGCAGGGAAGGCATAAAGTCCATTGATGACACTTTAGTTTCAATTCTTCGTAATATAAATTATATATCCACATATTTCTGTTTGTCTATCTGTAAACAACGTTAGCGGCTGAGGATACGGGTTCTTGCATTTGAAACTGATATTTTAATTTTGGGGGGTACTTTATATGAAGCCTCTGAGACATTCTCGAAATACATTATCTGCCAATGTTTTCCATTTCTATCAAGACATTAACTCTTGATTCCATGTGTTTTCGTTCGTATGCTGACGAGATTCCCTCCCTTTCTAGTTTTCCTAGGGGTAATTCAAAAATACGTACGCAATCTTAGATTCTTCAAAACTTCTTTGTAATAATTAGTAGAACTTATTAACATTATAGTGCTGAGTCACAAAATATAATTCCCCTAAATTTGATTAAAATTTCGTAGCGTTCAATCTGATATATTTATGATTCATTCTAATACACCCCTAACTTGGAATAAATAAAGTTTATCACACAAATTATGTGAGAGCATTCCCTTTTCTATTAACTCCTTCCTCCCACGCTTTTGTTCCTGTCTTCAATGTAAGAAACCTCTCTTCCAAATTGCCCACGAATTTCTCTTCGAATGACCTTATCATATAACTATTGTATTAAATGTTTTTTGAAATCGGTTAGGCGGAATTTTTCAAAAATTGCAAAAAATCAAGCTTCTTCGGCGTCTTCTTAAAACTACAATTATGAAGCTAGGGGTTTTCTCTTGAATTGAGTCTGTTTCTTAAAGATAGATTTTTGAAATAAGGTCAACAAGCTTTGAAAACTTCTCGCGTAATTTTGCGTAAACATACCATCGCGGCGAGAAAGTACGTGCGGTTTTGGCCTCACCAGTTCCTTAATAGAAGTTGGGAAACGAACTATTCACTAAACCCATTAGTGCGTTCCTGCATAACTACGAGTATAGTGATCGGCTGCCGCATGGCACATGGTCGCGTGCACAGGGCACGTGGCTGGCGATGCGCGCGGGGATGCGGTGGCTCGGGGAGTGCTTCTTTGGGCCGCCGCCCCCGCTAGACCCCATCCTCCTGCCCTCGCTGGCAGAGCTCCTCAACGCCTCCGAGACAGTCGCCTTCAACCCGCAGGTGCGACTATCCGAATGTGCACTTGCTCAAAGAAAAACAGTGACATTGAGTAAATTATCTCTTAATTTGAACTTCCTGAAAGAATACGAGATACATAGAGTCTCGTCATCTACCAATTTCAACATCCTGTAATAATAGTCGACGATCATACAAAAAAATTCACCAAGTTCATAGTTACTGAAATAATATTGGTTAAACAGAGTATCTCTGACCAATACGAAACCTGCTGGAAGAATAACTGTAGAACAGGTTAACCTTCCCTCCATTTAAACTTGTGGTAGGGAAACTTGTAAATATGGTGAACCAACTTGACCTTTTTGTAATTTCAGGGTGACACTTTATCCACTTTGCTGGAATGGTACTTGATGAGGAACAAAAACCTTTACTAAATTATAACTAGACGGAATGATCTGAGTATACCAGTTATTTAGAAATGAATGCGCAAAAGCACACAAAATTTAGATCTTTTGTTTTACATTTATTGAAAAAAGCCCTGAATTGTTTAATGGAATGAGTAATGAGTTTTGTTTTACTTTTTAACGAAAATGTTAATTTCTTGAATTGTGGGTAAATTGTAATTTGGATCCTCAAAAGGTTATTTTTTCCTCGGTTAAGTAAATATAATGCGAAAGAAATTAGAACGAAGGGCGAAGGGAAACGAAATGTGAAGAACCAACCTTTAGACACACACAACAATGCTAATCGAATATAAAATCATTAAAATGTGAAGCCTCATTGCACCTCTCAGTCATCTGCCTGGATCAAAAGAGGTCCAGAGTACCTATCCAAGTAGATACAACTCTAGTATTTACTAGTATTTACTCTCCAAAAAAATAATTTCCAGCTTTTAGGTATAATTATTCCCCTTCACTTCCCCATGTTGCGCAAGTTGTTTATCTATGTTTCACGACCGTCAACTTTTAAACAGCTCTGTACCTTGTATTCCTGAAACGTTCCCACAGACTACCGACGCCAGTAGCGACAAGCTTCCGGATGGCAGCATGACATCAGAGGCAGACGGCCCACTCGGTGTGAATCGAGTGGGCGAAAGCGGGGGAGGAGAGGACAAGAGAGAAATCGAAGAGGAGGAAGGCGAGGGCACTAGCAGCGTCGATGGTTAGTTCATACGCCACGCTGAAACACAATTGGGGGGGGGGGGTCTTAAGAGACTCAAACAACTCCAAAATTCAGTATTTTTTAGATATTTTGCCACGTTATTCCGCACAACTTGCGCCACCTGCTGGAACATTTTCTTTTGGCCAATGCTAAACTCATCGAAAGATACAAGGTGGAAGAAAATAATAAATTGACTATTACGCACGGCTACGCGATGAAGTTTCTGGTGCCTCCTGAAAAAATTGAAATTAAGAAAGAAAATTAAAGAAGTAATGGGAGCCTTTCCGAAGAAATAGTGGTTTAAAAATTAAAAATTGCCAGTTTCTCGTATCCCCATGTTAAAATATCGTTTTCAAATTCAAGAGGCTCAGATATCAGCAATATTGATAGAGTAATATCAATTTTGGTGAAAATCTGCTTACGGTTTAGCCGTAGACAGACGAAGGGCAGACGTTTTGCAGTCAATCGATGTTTTGGTATCAAGAACCCTCTAAAAATAGATTCTGGTTACAAAACGTCTTAGAGGAAGTAATTAACTGTAGATAGTGATAAGATGTCTTCTATTTTTTGTTACTAGGGCCTGGCAATAAATGTTTGTGAGAAAAATTCGCCGTTGTCACTTACAATACTTTCTCTTTACTGTATTAGCAGTTGCAAAAAAGTAAAACGACTAGATTCTAACGCATTGATATTAGCGTTTAGGGAGCGTCTTGTCTTGTCTGTCACCACATTCGTTTTTGAATCCCTACTCGAGTACGAATTTTTATTGTTGGAGGAATGGAGCACAATATACCGCAATAGCCGAAAACTGCTTAAAAATTCAACATATGTGTTTTTTTTAACTTCTCATGCTTGTAGTAGTAGAAATTTTTCCAGAGAAGAATGAAGTGTTAGTGAGATTGAAATTTTAAAATGAAATTGCAAAACCGTTACCAATGTAATCCAAGGTGTATCAGCTGTTGGAGAGGTACTAGGGTATGTTACCACAGATATCATTATAATATTGAGTGGCTTATCTGACATATTCTTCATATATTTCTCAAACCATTGCATATACCGGGATAAAGTTTTTTACTAAAAATAATGTTTGCAAGAAGCACATACAAAACACATAATATATTCCTACAACATTTATTATTTTCGAAATATCGAAATAACCACATTTTTTGACAAATCCTACTTCTTTCTTTTACGCATACGGAGCGCGAAGCTACGAGATATTCACATTCTCTTGTTACTTTACCAATACGTGTGGGAAACGTTGAGATTTTATAACACATGTTAGCTGTAATATTCCAATCATAAGGAAGGAAGTGATTCTGTTCCATTGCATATGCTCTGTGGTGCCAAAAACTAGCAATGTCACAACTGGTTGTCAAAGAAGTAACAGGCAAAATAAAAGGTCGATAGACAAACTGAATGCAGTCAAAACTGAACAGTAGCCTGACCTAGATCGTCTTTGGATCTTGTATCATTCGCCACACGGTTATCTTTCACCCTTAATCGCGGTTAATTGGAATGTGAAAGTTTGGTGTTAGCGAACTTTCACGGTTATGACTTATGTTTATGTTTGCATTTACACTTACGTTCCCTTTGAATGACTCCGCCGAATAACATGGCACCAAATTTTGCGTGCACATTACGTTTACGTTCAAGTTACTGAGAAAGCTGCTAAGCTGCACATTCTGTGAGGCAAAGTATCATTTCTGTCAGTGTCCAAATTAACCAATTCTATAGGGGGCTTAGGAACTTCATAATTTGGCTACACATTAGAGAGCTTATTGCTTCTGCAGATTGTAAGACATGGGACAATCTAAAGATTGACTTACTCCCTCAAGCAAATAAACCGGTAATTACTGTAGGTGCTTGGGAGCTTCACAAACCCAATAAAATGTTGGACGCTTACCTCTACGTACTTGACAAGTTTCATCTTCCCTTTATTATTCTCACATTTCTTCTCCACTTTCCTTTATCCTTCTCTTTCCCCTCTTTCTCTCCTCCTCCTTCACATCCTTTCTTTTCCTCCGCTTCTCCTTTTTCTGGCTAATATTCCTAGAAAATATTGAATTGGCATGACCATTGCAGACGTCTTTGCATTACAAAAGCTTATGACGCCTGTCAGGCGGATTGCGATAAAACAACTGTCAGACAACATTAATTTGTGGTGCTGAAAAAATATTATTAACCCAGTGACATGATGTTTCATATACAGAGTCACTTAGAACAAATATTAAAACCTTTTAGGAAGTGAAGAGGGGTTGAGAATAAACACTAGTGATCATGAGGTGCGAAATATCATAAAGCGGAGTTTACACGGGACATTTACCCCTGATTTTGAAGGTAACCCCGTATGTATATGTTTTCGTCAGGTCACGTTATAAAACAGTCAAGGATATGTACCTGCCGATCATCTGTGTATAGCTTGTCTGAAACTCAAAGGCAAACGTCACATTCTGAAGTGTGTTCCATACAATTTCTCTCTGTATATTTATTCACCAAAAATTATTTTCGACCTCCCTAAATGTCCTTGAAGTCTGTAACATTTATATTGAGATATGTTGTGAATGTAATGATTAGAGGACGGATTTTAATGCAATGTCATTTTTTTTCTTTTCACTTTAGAACAATACCGTTTAGTGTAGAAATGTATTTCATGTTTTGACGAAAGGAAATGGTAAGTTTTTATGTCATTTTTTTACATATTTTGTCGATTTCGACTAAATAGTCCTTTTTTGTAATTTTACGCCATTTTTACAGCATTTTTTGTTGATTTAATCGATTTTAATATGATTTTAATGTTATTTTTTTGATATAATATTTACGAGGCGCAACAAATGTTCACCACTAAATTTCTGAGTAGCCTATTCGATTTTTTCGCTCATATATTTTTGTGTCAGCAGTTATGAGTACTATGTAATGTAAGAGTCTTGTGATATTTATAGACGCCATTGTCAGTTCGGCCAATTTCGCGCTAAATAAAGGCAGAACTTTTTTTTAAGTAATACTCCAAAGTTTGCAAGCTGAGTTCACTTGAACAAAAGGAAGAAGCTTCGATTACATCAGTAACATATCCAACAGCTTGAGTTGTTCATCTGGAGTGGTATGATCAAATTTTTACATTTTTTTTTGTTTGTTTTTAGGGCATTTTAAAAGCTTTGAAGAGCATTTTATTGATCATTTTTGGCAACGTTTTAGGTCATTCAAATCCACCCCCTAGTGATAATAAATAAAACATGACAGTAATAGTTGAATCTGAACCTACGTGTCCCTGGTGGCCCACAGACTCCCGTTCCCACTCGGCCAGACGCAGTGGGACGCCGCGCATGTCACCGTACCGGAACGCGTCCCCGCGCACGTCGCCTTACCGCAACGTGTCCCCACGCCAGTCACCGTTGCGGGACGGGTCCCCGCGCCAGCCCTCGTTCCGGGACGCGTCCCCGCGCCAGCCCTCGTTCCGGGACGCGTCCCCAGGCACGTCGCCGGTGCGTGCGGTCTCCCGCCGGTGGCTGCTCCCGCCCGCCTAGCAGCGCAGACACGCCCGCGGGCCGCGCGGCGCGGCCGCTGCGCCGCTCGCCCGGGCGGCGTGACGTCCTCGCGGCCCGCGTCGACGCGCCGCTACGCGCTGGTGCCGCCGCCGCCCCCGCCGCCCCTGGAGCAGGGGTGCGGGATGCGTGCGGCCGCGCGTGACGCCTCGTGGCGCGCGGGCGTCAGCTGCGTCTCCGTGCTCGACACCTCCGCGATCCGGCCGCGCTGGCGATGACGCTGGCGCTGATGTTCTGGAGTAGGCATTTACATCGCTGGCGCTGGCGCACCGGGGCTGATACTCTGGCGCCGGTATTTACATCGCTAGCGCTCACGTCACTTGCGCTGAAGCAGCTGGCACTTGACTCCGTTGGCGCTGACTCTGGTGCACTGGCGTTTCCGGCGCCAGTGCTGATGCTCTACGGCTGATGCTCTGGTGCTGGAATGTACATCGCTAGCGCTCACTGACGACTCTGGCACAACGCCGCTGGCACTGACGCTGGTGCACTGGCGCTTGTGGCGCTACTGCTGACGCACTGGGGCTGGTGCTCTGGCACTGAGTCACTGGCATAGACGCAACTAGTGGTGGCGTATTGGCGTTGAAGTCCACATACAGGCACTGACACTTTTGTTCTGGTATAGAGGCTTTCGCGACCACGTTATTGGCTTCTGATGCTTCTTACACTAACGCCGTTGACGGTGACACTGCTGGTAATGACGCCACTGACTCTGATGCACGGGCGTAGATATGCAGCTATCTTTGTCGCCTTGGCGCTGGCGTGATGGCCCTGAGGCACTCACGTTGACACCGCTGGCGACTGGCACTGGTGCTGGCGCGTTTTCACTGACGCCCACATCCTGACGCTGACGCCGCCGTGACTTTGCCCGCTAGCCCTGACTAACGCCCACATACTGGCGCTGGTGTACTAGAAAATATGACAATACATACGCTGGCGATGCTGGCTTTCGCGCGGAGATATTGACGGGCGTTAATCTACTGTCGACCGCGAACTTGATTCAGCATCTCCTGACGATAGCGTTGGCGCTGATGTGGTTGCTGGGGCAGCCATTGGCTGGGGCTGCCTCGAGGAAGTCCTCCAAACGGCATAGACGACGAGGTGAGTTCCAGGGACGGCCCTGTCAGTGAATCCTTCCCACAGTCCCTTTTCGTGAGAAGGGCACCGCTTCCGCAGAGAGCTTCGCGGAATTTACGAGAGCATTTTGTAGATGCAAGGAGGGACTTCTGGCTAGGTCAATAAACCTATCAAAAATTCACCCACATTGACTTTCCTTTGTTCCTCCGCTCTCGATCCGGAAGCTTTTCATTGTCATGATAATCTGTCGTACAAAACCGCTAAACATTTCAATGTTCTGTACATCACTTCCCAGAAATTTCAAAAGTGATCACATTATTGCATGTATCGTCCTATTAAAATTCATGTTAAAAAGAGTATATACGAGTTGAATATGAACAAATTAAAAATTAGAAATTCGAACTGTCTTCTCGCATACTCGCATATAAAATTTAACCTTTATGATCATATAGAGTGCAAACTGTATTGCAACATTATTGTGCAAATATGGCAGAATGCTGTGAGATTTGAACTCTTCGGAACGGACTTGAATCGCGATTAGTGAGAAAAAGCAATATATTGCGACCAAATATGACGTAGCCATTTTGATGGATATTGTCTCGAAATGCTGAAAATAAAAGATATTGTATACCGTAAAGTCTTGACTCTTTGAGAACGAATATGCCAAAATGCAAGCAAAAAAATAATATAAATACGAAATAATCGTTTATTAAAGGAAGTGTATTTGTGTTAAACCTTTTATTTATTAAACCCCTTTTTTTGTGAAACCTTTTATTTATTAAGGTTCTTCTACATAATTCGATGTTCACCACTTTATGTATAGACTTATAATTAATATTTTTGTACACTTTCCCCTTAAAGCATCATTTCTTAATGTTAATCGTTCTTTTCAACTATTAAGATTTCTTGACTATTAAGGTTGTGCAGCAATAAGCAGAACACGGGACAATACTTCAAGCCAACTAACAATTCCGGGTTATCAAACACAGAAATGGCTACAGCGAGAAAAATTAAAAACTTTCAGAAACGTTAGTGTAGGTCTAGTAAAACATGTTCCATCACAACAGGGAAATATTATTACTGATCTCCGATTAATTGAATCGACTTTGCAGTTATGTATTAAACGAGCACGATGCTGCTAGAAACTAAATACCAGTTTGGCTGTTTTTCAATAACCACACTCGACATATAAAATTCTGTTGGCTACAACAGAGTATTTTCTGAGTGCATATTAATAAGTAATCTTTCAAAAATCAATCACAATTTTGTGGTGTATTATCTCTCCCGAATGTGAATGTTTTTGATCTCATGTACATCGCCCAAAACCCCCATTTCGGTCTTGATAAAAACCCTACAATTTCGACAAATAAATCAAATTCTATTTTTAAATAAATATTTGTTATTTGGAAAAGTTTAAAAGGTGATATGATTTTTTTAACTGACGACGTTGTTGATCGCAGTTGCGGAACCTGAGGAAGTGGCATCTCGAGGCAGTGATGGCAGCGGGATTGGTGATGCTCGCAATCTTCAAGGTTCTCCATTTGAGATGTCAAGTACTGCCTTTCAAATCCCTGACTTCTTCTATCTCGTACGCCATACGAGCAGTAGTATACGATCTCTTTGCGGTGAACCATCGTTCTGGTCAAGTTCCACGATCAGTAACCTGTTGAAAGTGGCCTCCGCTGGAATTATGCCTAACTACAGTTATCAATAAATACCTTTTTTTATTTTATCACACGCGTTTTATTAATTTTCTAGTAGTTCTCTCGTATTTGCAATTGTTTAGTAAGATTCGCAAGTTTTTTGAATAAATATTTGTTAAAATCAATAATATTACTACTATAAATAAGAAGAATCAAAATTCATAAGATAACGCCCTTAATGTACGAGAATATCAATTTTATTGACAAAATGAAATATCATTCGAAAAAAGGGTTATAATATATTTTTATTGTATATTAAAGATTATTATATCGATTATTTCATTATTTAGTCTTAAAATTCTATTTCCTGTTCTATTATTCAAATTCTTACAATCTATATATTAATTCGTGGAGAAATAAAGTTGTACTCCGTTTTAAGCTTATTGCGAGCACGGATAAGTGTGATATTTGGCATACTTAAAGTGGATATGAAGTAGTGCAAAGAGAAAAATGTATGTAAAATGTATGTTACGAATACATTAAAATAAAATAATCTAAATAATATACCATGCAGTTACAACACGTTGCAAGTCGAAATCGATGCGATTTAGAGACCAAAGCAGACTTTCGTGTCTCTGGAGGGTACAAAAGTTTTCTATGCCCTAATATAAAATTTGAGACATTAGTAGACAATTTTTTCTCAGCTTAGTGTACAAAAGACAAATATTTCACTTCGTATTTGCATTTGTGTATGTGAAAAGCATATTATTAAAACTATCAATGGTAATAATAATTGCAATAATGACTTTCACAAATTATCAATACTGGTTTTTATAAAAGTTGGTAGTGTTGTTATTTTTTCACTTTTCATATCATTACACATAAAAAAAGGGCACCGGAGACAGTATGGAGACAGACTTCCGGAGAGCATTGCTCTGTTGGCGGTTGAGATCAAGAGACCAGTTCCGTTGAAATTCTCAACCTTGGGAGAGGGGCGAGAAATCCAGTGATTCTTCTGTTTGAATTGGTATGTTACTATAAGTTTTCAAATTTCACTGGTATTACAGGGAAATTTAAGATATCTACTTAAAGTCATAAAATTGTAATAATAAAGTTTTATCTTTTAATATTATGTCTTACGTAGATGGACATGCAGTAAAGATAAAATCACATCCGAAATGTTTTTGTGAACATTTCATTTTGAGTTTTTATAAAAATATATTTCATGTTATTTATTTAACGTTTCGACCCTGTTTGAGGTATTTTTCAAAAAAGAACCTTAAAAATGTAAAGTAAATTATATTTAATAACATGGTATCACATGTCAGATAAAGTGATGCATTGAGAGAAATTTAACAATATTAATAAAAAACAAAATATGACATACCCCGTGTTCAGGTTAGTTGACATCATAAATATATAAAAAGCATTTTGATTCAAAAATTGTCATTCACATAAAAATTTACTCACGTCATCAGCTTCATCCGGTTAACTGGTATTACAGAAGTCACTTTTAAAACAATTTGATTATAGGTTCACAAACTTTACAAATAATGGAAATAATGTTTAAAATGAGTCTAAAACAACAGAGTTTGTATATGAATAAAAAATCAAAGTATAAAAGAGAAGGCAGGATATTAAAGAATATCATCAGTATCAAAATATCATTATCAAAGTGTATACAGAGATGTGGGAATGACCATGTTGAGCTCAAAAAGATTTCATCTAAACGTGATCATGGATCTGATGTAATAAAGTGACAAAATAATGTCAAAAACTGCACCAAGAGAGCCTTAAGAACTCGCATCAAAGAGCATGTCAACAATAGTGGTTGCATCCAAAGAGTTGCAACACAAAATAAAGCATAATCATAATATTCTTTGGGATTAAAATTAAAAATATTGTCCCTTCAGTCCCAAATCAATCTTAAAATAATCGATATGGAAAAGAACTATCATAGAAGACTTCTCCCTGAAATGATTTTTATCAAAAGTATTACAATAAAATAAACATTACAACTGACGTTAAAATATTCATTAATTAATACTTAATATATTTTCAGAATTAATTTTTCAGAATAGAACAAAATATCCGAAGCGTTGTGTAAAACTTGCGAATTGCTCGAAAGAACAGTTTGCATTTCATAGTTTGTGTGTCGGGTTAAAAAGGGTAGCAGACGAACTAGCACGTTTCCGCAAGAAGTCGGCGCCACACGCGAGACCGAACATTCCCATGTTTGTGACAAAAAGTTTTCGAGTTTGCGAAAGCATGATCGCATACAAAAGGTTTTGCATACTTTTGAGTGAAAGAGTGATAACTTTTAATCATTATGTAAACATCATTTACTCGGATCTGCGAACTTTATTTTTTATTTGATTGGCATGTCCTACTCTCTTTCTGTAGCGTCGGGAAGGTTACTATGTCGTTTCAGGTGTGCGGAGTAATGGTTGGGCTCGTAGGTTGCTGAACTGAAGTACGTGAGTTCGAATACCAGCAAACATTTTTTGAAAGTTGGAAACACTTACAGATTCAAGAAATAGTATATTACGTTACCGTTGCAAATAATGCGAGAAAGTACGTACTGTTGCAGCACACCATATTTGGTTTGTAAACGACTCAAATAAAATAACAATATTTCAGAGTCAGAATTCAACGTAACATTATCATTAATAGTAGTAACGAATGAACATATTAGTCATGAGAATGAAGCTGCTAATGCAACATATAAGTAAGATTATTTAAAACTTGATTATCTTTGCAATAATTCGCACATATACAGCACGTACAGTGCAAATATACTGCTCAGAAGCATAAACCTTTTAAGAATTATAATTTAATAACAGAATACCTTTTAGGAATAAGCATTTAGGAGAATTGCATTTTAGGATATTGCACTAAAAATTTTCGATAATATTGAGCAGTTAATACCGTTAGCCATAAAAATCATGAAATTCTTTAGCGTGAGATGTATTGCGGTGAAAATCTGCTGTATCAGAACTCTTTTGGGAGCCACTCTTCTGGCTACATTCTAAATCTGTTTAAACAGATGTAGAAAAAAGAGAAATAGTTCATGGCAAGCTTCTACTAGGACATACTATCACCTCTTTAAATATCTATACTTATTGAGACTAGGCAGTTTCTTCGTGAGCTGCCCTATGGCTTGACACTCCTGCAATAGAATGCTCATCTCATCAAAACTGTCGGCGATTTGGGCATGAAGGCCGCAGCGGTCTTGTTAAAACTGCTTTCATTAGCGCCGTACTGCGGACGGGGACGGTTGTGAAATATTCATTTTTCATTCTTTGAGCGCCAGCCGGGGAGCATTGCAGAGGCAGTACAATCTTCGTGCAAACTGCTAACGAGATGAGGGAAGGAAGCGGTCGTCTCCAGGATGTCACCCCGAATACTGATGAAACCCCCTTCTGTGCGACGCATTATGCGTCGTTTAATTTGTTTTGTTTCAAGCGGTGTGTAAACTTTAGAAAGAGTTGTTTTGCAAATCTGATATGATTATTTTTTTTATATCGTACGTAAAGTTTAAGCATTTTAATTCCCGAGTTCTGAAAATGGTTGTAGATATAAAATTAAAACCTTAATTTAATCGACAGGTCCCATATAACACCTGGATATCCCCGTTACAAATCATTCCCATAGTATATTTTTAAATAAATACTTTTTATTTTGTACTTCGATTTTTCAGCTATTTTACCGTGTATTACTTTAAAAAATTTTCATAATACGATTCAATTACCTACCACAACGTAGAATTTTTTACACCACTTTACTTACTTTAATACTTTCTTTTAGTGCTCATTATTAGCTTCAAAGAAGTTAGAGACTACAGAAGTCGGTGATTCCGTCAAATATGTTGTTGAGGCTGCCGACATATTATTACCTGAACACATTTTGAAGTAAAGACTGTGCAAGGTCCATGGTACCTATGTTATGGTGCCACTCCTGTACTTGCTTGGCAGTGCTCTGCGATACCATGGAAATACCAATCAGAGCAACCGTTTACTTGAATTCTCCTCCAGACAGCGACGGAATTCGACCTAGCTGTAAGCATGAGCTATTCGACCCAGTAAGCATGCTAGCTGTAGAGTCAAATCGAAAATCAGACATCGGGGAAACGTAAAACTCTGAGAAACACTGTGAAGAGTTTTATCACACAGAACATCCCCACCTACTAGTCATACTATTTCCTACATACCCACCTTTGCCTTGGCCAGTCTCATTCCACCAATATCTGTTCTCGCTATCTCTCTCTCTCTCTCTCTTTCTCTGATTCTCTGTCCGTTTATCTGTCTAGGCAGTCACTAGCACATTACAAGAAGAACCACACGAATTTGATCTAGTTTCTCAGTAAGCATGCGACAGTGATGATGATGATGATGATGATTTTAGAAAATTGATCTCTGTGTAGAAATATAATTTTGTATTAAATATCGACTTATTAAATCCGATGCCTTTACAACTTTTGTGTTGGAACTTTTTACGTTTTCGACATGTTGTTTGTAAATGAAACCATCATGTAATCACAATTTTGTAAAAGTTAAAATATGAAATAATTCATACCACTCAGGCTATGTGACGTATGAAAATGTCCTCGCTTTACAAATCACGCCCTTCAGACAATCTTCAGCACTCAGGCATTCGGGCTCATTTCTTTAATTATCCTCAGAACTTTGTTTTTGCAGTTAAATCTTAAATACAAATTAATAAACACGATCTCTATCAAATTAAATTCTGACCCATCAAATATTTAATGTTAGAAGTTATTAAACCAATTTTAAACTAATTTTTGAAAGCATTGAGGGCTTTGGACGATATTTTAACCGGATGTTTTAATATTGATCATTAGAAACATCGATGTTATGTTGAAGTTGCAGATCTGCTACCTAGAGGTGTTAAGTCAGCAACCAGACCGCAGCTCTGTGGGTTCTCCCTACACACACAAACGACAAACATTTTGGTGAAGGGCGGACTAAAAATGTTGTACCGGAGATGTATAACTGCGATGACCACATTATAATGTTTGAAAAGAAACCCTGGGATAGGGGGCACAACGAGGGGCAGGAGTTTGGGAGGAGGGTGC